ATTGCCTTTTCTTGATTTCCCTTGTTTTGGATTCCGATTTACTTCGTTGACGTGATGTTCCACTCGTTCCTTTTCTCGAATGATCATATTTTGTTTTTGTTGAATTTCTTACTGTTTGGCTGCCGTGATAGTATCTTGCAACGTAAAATTTAGTTTCAGTTGCAAACGTTCACTCAATTTAGCATCTAACATGCCCACACGTCTTTGAAAACATCGAATTCACACTGTTCTGCTAGTGCGTGCAAATTCGTGATGAACGAATCCCCTGTTCTATTAAATAGTCTTCTAATGCATGCAGCACGACGTTGTATGTTACTCCCAGTGGGCAAAAAACCATGTTCGTTCTAAAAACGTTTTAAGGACGTTTTTAGAACGTTTCGTATCCGACAAATAATGTTCTGGAACATTTTAAGAACATGGATGTTCGAATAATGTTCCAAAACATTATTTGGCAGACATGAAACGCTCTAAAAACGTTCTTAAAACGTTTTTAGAACGAACATGGTTTTTTGCCCACTGGGTTGGCTCAGGCATCGGCTGGAACTAGAGATAAATATCCTCACTTTTTTCTCCCATTATGTATATCAAAGTATCAATTTTTTCGGCTTCTCCTCGGTCACCCATGCCCGACACCGACATGTACCTCGTGAATTTTTTCTTCCAATTTGTCCATGATGCCGAATTCTTGAAGTTGAACTGATCTGGGGGTACCACACTTGGTCTTATCGGCACAACTAATAGAATCGGTTGTACTCCTTCTGCACCACCACCAGCACAAGGTTGCACGGCTCCAGGATGCCCGTTTTCTGGTGCTTCCTTGTCAGCCATTTTTCCACCGAGGATATACTTTTAGTTTTATCCCACTCGAGAGTGGTTAATGGCGTTTACATTTCCGTCGGAAAACTTTCCAGACGATTTTGATTCGCGCACTTTTTACTTCTTCAAAATTAAAAATAAATTTATCCCGCGCTGCCACCATGTAGAGTTATGCTTCTAATAATAATTATAATAAATAGGGATAAGGAACTTATTAATTTTGTTAATATTGATAACGAGATAACTTTGTGTCGCGTGGTACAGCTCTCGCCAGTCGAGAGAGATATGGTGTTACGAAAAAAAAACCGTAGGCCCCATAACGCTAATTATTATAAGCCCTCTTGTGGCCATATCTAATATTATTTCAAACCCTTGACACCACACTATTTTTAGAAAAAAGGAGTATACTTTAACCTTTAGAAATCGGTTTCTTATTTGTAACGCAACTTTATTTCCTTTTTATTTATCAGAACTTCCATGGTTTAAATTTCAAATCAATTAAAAAACGAAAAATTATAGGTTAACTTGTCAAATTGTCACACAATGTGTTTGAAGTTTGTTATACATAACAATACAAGTCCTATTAACTGTGCGTAAAGTTTACGACGTTGCCATGAATTATGACAGATTTTTAAAAAATGAATTAAACAGAATTTATATTATTCGTGTAATGAGAAAAAATTATCATCTATTTTTACACTTTATTTAAACGTATTTTTCTATTTATAATATAAGTAATTGATTATTTCAATAAAATTAAAAGGAAATTTTTTTTGGTTGTAAACTTGCGAACTTTTACATGGAGGTAATGGGAACAATCGCCTTTATTCTGCACCACCTCTGCGACAATCCTTAAACATGGATAAAGTATAAAAATTTAATTAATTTAGCATTGGAAGTTGTATTCTGTTGAGTTGATATCAACCAAGGAGACAGTTACTATATTGCATTATTCCCTGATAAAAAAGTCAGATTGATTTCGTATCAAATTCAGAGAGATTGGACTGGATAAGTGGGAAAACTGTACGAAATAATTACGCAAGTGATCCGCATTAGTTTGGAATCAGACTGAACACAACGACAAATCCAAAATCGGATCGCATTAATCTGAACTGACTATGAAATCAGACTGCAATCAGACCGAAACAATCCAAATACAAAACCGAAAAAAACTAATCAGCAATTAATAAGGAAAAATACGAACATTGTGTAAGAAAAATAACATAATAATCCGCTTCATTTCGAATTCAATACGTACAAAAAACTTAATCCGACATAACAGTGAAATAATATGGAAACTTGATTATAAAAGAGATTATTTTGCAATAATTCTCGATATAAAAGTAAGAAATCCGATTATTTTCGTACTTGATCGGACTAATCCCTTATTCAATAGTTGTATACAATCAGAATAAGTCCAGATTGGGTTAAACTGATTCCGGATTCACTAATTATACTTATACCGAATTGATTTCAGTTTCAACCGGACTTATTCCAGATTACCTGAACTTGACCATAAAGCGGATTAGTTCGGAATAATTCTTGATTTAATAGTAAGAAACGGATTATCTCCGTATTTGTCCGGACTAACCGTTGATTCAATAGTTGCATACAATCGGACTAACTCAGGATTCGATCAAAGTTATTTCGGATTCAATACTTATACTTAAATCATATTGATTTCAGTTTTAACCGGACTCATTCCGGATGACAAAAACCTGATCATAAATCGGATTATTTTGGAATTGTTTTGGATTTACTAGTAACAAATAACTGATTAGTTCCGGATTTGACCGGACCAATCTCAGATTCACTAGTTGCGTACAATCGGACTAATTCCGGATTAGACCAAACTATATTTGGATTTACTAGGTATTCACAAACAGTATTGTTTTCTGACTTAACCGGATCAATTACGGGTGACAAATACCTGACCATAAACCGCATTGTTTCGGACTAACTGCTCGTTGAGTCCGATATTTTAACCAGGGATAACATCAATCACGTATTGGTGCAGTAAATAAGCATTTAAAGAAAGAGGAGCAAATAGGAGCAAGTTTTTTTTTAAATTAAACATGAATGTGTATAAAACACGGGAAAAATTATTTCAGAGTGGGATTTTTGACTTTTCATTTTTGAATTCAAAATTTTTTTAATTTAACAACTAACACTAAGATGTTAAGTGGGGCTGTTAAAAATCTTTAAATTAAAACTATTTTTTCGTTTTTGGCCACGTTTTTCCCGGCTGAAAAAACTTGTATAAGAATATGTACAAGTTCTTGTACATGTTTATTAATGAACTTGTACATGTTCAAGTAATTTTCTTGAACAAGTTCAGCATCCGGAATTGAGGCATGTTCTTGTACCAGAACTTGTACAAGATCCTGGACAAGAAAATATACATGTTCTTGTATATATTTTTATGTGCAGGTTTCATGTACATTTCCTTGTACCAGATGTGGAACATATTCTTGTAAATGTTCATTTATGTTTTTTAAATTAAAAACTTTAAAGGCTGCGCAGTAGTTTTCTTAAGCCTTTATAGCTGTGCAATAATTTTTAGCATGCATAAGTGAAGAGTCTTAATAATTATAACTTATTAAAATTAATTTTTTTTTCAAAAACGTTTTTAAACAAATGTTCTTGTAGAAGAACATAAACGTGTTCATGTAAAATTACTTGTACATGAAACCTGCACAAAAAATATGTAAAAGAACATGTACATTTTTTTGTACAAGTACATTTCCTTATCCAGGATCATGTACAAGTTCTGGTAAAAGAACATGTCAATTCCGGATGCTGAACTTGTTCAAGAACATTACTGGAACATGTACAAGAAAATGTACAAGTTCATTAATGAACATGTACAAGAACTTGTACATTTTCATGTACAAGTTTTTTCAGCCGGGTTGGAATTTGGAACCACTGTGGGGAGGGGGGGGTTTAAAATTGTCCATGATTTAATGTATTTTCCTATCCACAATGAAGGGAGGGGGGGTCAAAAATCAGTAAAAAATTGTCCACGTGGTATATAAACGGCCCCTTAAGACCTTAAAAATTATGTTGTAGAATTGACAAATTTTTCCATACATTATTCTAGATTATGCCAGGAGTCAAAAACATTAGTACGAAAGTTGGAAAATTGCATACCTTTTTCTTGAAATCTTTTCGGTGTTATAAATACGACAAAAAGAAAAATTTTTTTTTTTTATATACATTCAGACGCAGAATTTTATTAGCTTTCCAACCATCTAAGTTAGAAGTCTCTAAATTTTTTCCAACTTAAAATATCTTGCTTTAAATTCAGCATCAAATTTCCACTCCTCGTATGTCAAACGTGCCGACAATTTCTGCCGGTAGTGTTTACTGCCGTCCATAATATTTTTCGTTTGTACCCTTACTCGAAAGCATATTTACAAACATCATTGTTGCTATATTTGAATTTACATTCGCGTCGCTTTGACCCTCGCTTATTTTCCCTACATGATGAGTATTAATCACTTTGCTTCATGAGCTTTTGTCATGAAGCAACAATTAGTGGCGTTTTGAATTACACTTCTTAAGACGCACTCACACCTCGGTGGTTGTCTGCCTGCCTGCATGAGTTGTCATGGCAATGTGAAGGAGTTAGAAAGATAGAAAATTCAAATTTGAATTTACTATCTCTATTACTCCTGTACGTTGCCATGTCAACTCCTGCAGGCAGGCAGCTACAAGTTAAGACGATGAGAGTGTACCTTTACAGAATCTATTTGACTTGTGATCAAATCCCCGTATAGCGTATTTATAAATTTCCATTATTTATAAGTATGTAATATAAAATGTAAGTATTGAATGAATTAAAAACTTTTTGTAAGGAAGCGCGATTGTTTAAATGAAAATTTTTTATTTTTTAAAGAATAAATATAAGCATAGATAAAGATGAAAATTAAGAAAGATAACTGAAGGATAGAAATTGATAAAATGAAATCAAATGGATAGACATTTGTCGTTTAAAAATGATAATTTTTAAAAGATGCAAAGTATTTTCTTGGGAGGGATAGAAAAAGTTATGCGTTTCTATGTCTAGCAATTTTTATCCATTTCTATCTTTTTACTTTCAACGGAGAATATCTGAAAGAAAAAATTGGAAAATTAACTAAATTTTGAAATATAGTTCATAAATAATAATTAAAACGTTCTAGATATTTACATTTCCATCCTTTCCTGGAAACGAGGCAAATTATCTTAGAGCACAAATTGCTCGCATAAGTTCTTCCACGTTAATTTCTCCAGTTGGTTACTTTACATTCAGAGAAGACGAAATCGAAGAAGAGGAAGAAATAGAAGAAGAGGAGCCAATAAGTAGTAAATAACCCTTGTTAAAATTTTTGACTGATTCAGAATTAAATTCGTACAGATCAGTACGGATTAGTCTGGAAATTGTACGAAAATAAATAGGGTGGGTTTTTAGGTCTGTGTTTTCGTAGTTGCGATGTTATCTGGGGCTCAATATTTTTGCAGCATAATTTTCAAATGGCAATAACTTTTACGCGGATCAATGGAGTTGAAAATTTTACGAACGTTTTGTGTAGAAAATTTCCTAAAATTTGTAATGAAATTATTTTTTTTTTTTCAAAAATGAAGTTTTGACTTAGAAAGCAAGAAAAAATTATTTTTTAAAATTTTTTCATCCCTTTCCCCCCTTCAAATGTTTTCAAAACTACCATAAAATGTTCCTTATTTCTTAAGGTCTTCACCCTCCAAATTTTATTAAGGAACAGCAAAGTGCGTACGAATTACAGATGAATATAGATTAGCAACTTACCGATTTGCATCTAATGCTCACCAGTGATCTTAAATTATTTTTCTTTCTTTAATTTAAGATTAAAAGAACAAAAATATTGGAAAATAGTAATAATTTCTTTGATTTATTGGCTCAAGTATAATATATTCCCATATATGTGACTGGGTCTGAGAAAACGGTGCTGCTATCGACCAAAATCAACTTTTCGAGAAAAACGCGTTCAAAGTTTTACTACTAATTAAAATAGATTTCTTGAAACTATTTAAATTTCAAAGGACCTAGATAAGTGTTCCTTATGTATTTTTTTATGCTGAATACGGTTTTTATGCTTAAATAATTTTTTGAACTTCAGTATTATTGTTATAAACAATTTATTTTGCAAAAGTCAAAATATGAGATTTTAAATTTTAATTTAAACGATTTACTAATGTCCTAGAGGTCTGAAATTTTTTATGCACCTTCAGAACTTACAACTGCACAATAATCCATGGTTATTTTTTACCTACAGAACCAGGTTGCCGATGATGGGTATACATACTTAAGGATCATCGCCAAGAATTTAGCTCGAATTTTTTGTAAATAGTTTTGGCATTCACATTTGAGGTTTGAGAAAATATCCTTAACACTTGGACAACCAGGTCGTCGATTGCGGGTATACCTGGTATATCTTCGAGTATTTAGGTCAATGTTTTCGTTAATTTTGAAAAATGTATAAGTTTTTAATTTTTAATTTAAGCAAAAATACCAAGAGCGATTTTTGTCTTAGAATATATATATATATATATATATATATATATATATATATATATTGAGACAGGCAGATTTCTTATTTCAATAAAATATATAAAAATTAAATAAATAAGATTTACACTCACTTGGCGCAGCCGGGTTCAAAGTCGCCAAGGGTCAAAAATTAATAATTTAAGAAAAATTACCGCGGGCGCCAGTCGCCTGAAGGTCGACAAAAATATATAATACAAGCACGCAGTTTTACGGCGTCCCGTCAAACGCATGCGTTCCATTTCTCATAGATCTCCAGGATCGAATCGAATTTAAACAGTGAATTTTTGAAGACTTGTAACTTTTATACAGAAAGAAGAAAAAAATTTGTCCCATATGTTTTCGAAAAGTTTTTTCCTGCTCTTTCAATTGGTGCAAAAAAAATTTTTAAATTCAAATAGGTATTGACCCATTTTTTTGAAAATTAAACTTTTTTTCGAATTTTTTTTTAAGTTCGGTCCTTTTTATTTTATTTTTATTTTTTTTTGAAAGCTAAAAATGTGTATTTTCACCAAAAAAAATATTGAGATGTCCTTTTTTTTATTTTCGATATATTAGTTAATTAATTAATTAATGTTAATAAAAAATTATATATTTTATAAACCAATAAAGGGATCGTATTTCTGACGTTACTAAATAAAAATTGACAAAATTCCGCATCCAACGAGCCCTATATGAAGTACTTTGGGTTAGTGGATTGTTAATAAACAATTGCCATGTTAGCCAATTGTTTATTAACAATCCACTAACCCAAAGTATTTCATATGGAGCTCGTTGGATGAGGAATTTTGTCATCTTTTATTTAGTAACGTCAGAATTACGATACCTTTATTGGTTTATAAAATATATAATTTTTTATAAACCTTAACAGATAATTAATTAACTAAAAATTGTAAATAATATATAAGTAAATAAAAAAAATGTTGAAATATAAATTTTTTCCAAATGTTTTTTTGTGCTCTTTCGATTGGTGAAAAAAAAATTTCAAAAAATTCAAAAATTAACCCTTTTTTCTGAAAATCAAAAATTTTTTTGACTTTTTTTTTAAGTTCGGTCCTTAATAGTTAATTAATTAACTAAAAATTGTAAATATTATGTAAGTAAACAAAAAAAATTTTGACATATATGTTTTCCAAATTTTTTTTGTGCTCTTACGATTGGTGAAAAAATATTTCAAAAAATTCAAAATTTGACTCTTTTTTCTGAAAATCAAAAATTTTTTTGATTTTTTTTTAAGTTCGGTCTTTTTTTTAAATTTATTTTTATTTTTTTATGAAAGTTAAAAATGTGCATTTTTACCTCAAAAAATATTGAGATGTCCTTTTTTGTTATTTTCGAGATATTACTTAATTAATTAATTAATGTTAATAAAAAATTATATATTTTATAAACCAATAAAGGTATCGTAATTCTGACGTTACTAAATGAAAATTGACAAAATTCCGCATCCAACGAGCCCTATATGAAGTACTTTGGGTTAGTGGATTGTTAATAAACAATTGCCATGTTAGCCAATTGTTTATTAACAATCCACTAACCCAAAGTATTTCAAATAGAGCTCGTTGGATGCGCAATTACGTTAGCTCTCAATTGGTACCTTCAGGATTGTCATAACTTTATTTATTTGTGAAATACTTCATTTTTGATTAACATTAATTAATTAATTAATTAATATCTCAAAAATAACAAAAAAGGACATTTAAATATTTTTTGTGGTAAAAATACACACTTTTAGCTTTCAAAAAAAAATAAATAAAAAAAATAAAAAGGACCGAACTTAAAAAAAAATTCGAAAAAAAGTTTAATTTTCAAAAAAAAGGGTCAGAATTTGAATTTTTTGAAATTTTTTTTTGTACCAATTGAAAGAGCAGTAAAAAACCTTTCGAAAACATACAAGACAAATTTTTCTTCTTCTTTCTGTTTAAAAGTTAAACTATCTGCAAGTTGCAGCCCGATTCGATCAACTTTTTTTTTACTTAGTTCGCTACCGGACTTTATATATAATCATACGTCTGTCTGTATATTGATTTAAATTTCAAATTTTTTACATAATTTGTCTTTTTGAACGTCAAGAATTCCAAAAATGAGCATCAAAAATTTCATGTATGTATGTATGTATGTCTGTCACAAAGCTTTGTACGCCAATTACGCAAAAACAACTTAACCGATTTGCATGAAATTTGGCACTGTAGTAGGTATTGACAAGTTAGGTTTATAAACTTAGAGATTTGAAAAATTTTAATTAGAACAAAAGTTATGTCACTTTATCAAAAAATTCAAAAAATCGAAAATTTTCAAATTATTCAATTTTTTTTAAATTGCTGGAAACTTTTTTGTAATTATGTTTTTATTGTCACTGAGTCACATTTTAACATAATTTTACATTAATTATTGGTAAATCTAAAAAAATTGAAAAATTAATTTTTCAACTTAAAATATTTGTTAAATTAATATTTTTGTAAAATGTTCTCTTATGTTAAAAAATGACTACTTTAAGGTATTTAACAAAGATTTTTATGTAGAATAAATAAAAAAACTACACCTATTAAAGCACGTAATACTCCCTGTAGAAAAGTATCGTGGCGCTAGGATGGCACCATCCTAGCTTTCTGTGTCACTGTAATGGCGCTACTCCCATTTGTGACAATTTTGTATTCTAGCCACTAGCTAGTATTGCGGGAATGGTGATGTTTAAAAATTACGATAAAATATTTAAAAATAATTTACAACATTACAACATATATTTCCATTAAATTTTCTTAAATTACCACATAAAATTCCATAAATTACCCTATAAATTTCTAAAATTTTCTTCCATATATTATAAATTAACTTAAATATTTCATAAATTACCATAAATTACCCTATAAATTTCCAAAATTAGTTTCCAAGTTTTTCATTTATATATTATAAATTACCGCATAAATTTTCTGCAATAATTTTTAAATCTTAAATTTTGTTTATATTACAATTATAAATTACCTCATAGTCTGTAGGTCGTAGGTTCGATTCCCCCCATGCGTTAGATTTATTTATTTCTCAGCTATGCATTTAATCATTAATTCTATGTATGAATTAGTTAAAAAATGAAAATATCCGTTAACAGTATGCAGATATTACATATTTTTTAATTTATTTATTTATTGTATGTTTATTTCAGTTAATTAATTAGAATGTTAATTAATAAATTCAATTTGAGTAAGAATTTAATTTAGAAATGGAAGAATTAGTAAATAAATATGTTATTTATTCATACTTTAAGCTTATTTATTATTATATTAACTATTATTATTAATATTGTTGATTAAAAAACATTAAGGCAAACTTGAGGGCAAGATGAGGGCAATCGTGAAAATCCATATAGAATCCATGAGGATATTCCATGAGGGCACCCATGAGGGAAAGCATGTCACGCCTTTAAGGGCCCCTGCAGGCGTTGCCCCTATGGATTCCATACGGGATGAGGGCAAACCATGGGGGTCCCGCGCAGGGCCCTCACCATTTTTCCACACGGGATGTAACAGATTTTTTTAAAACATTTGAGACTAGTTGGATTGTATTTTCAGGACCTTAAACTATAAGAAACCATTATAAAAAATCGATTTTTTGGCCCATAACACCGTTTTTCAGACCATATCTGTACCTTGTACGCACATTGCTGACTCAAAATATATAATAATTTGAAGGGTGAAAGGCGTATGAAATATTGAATATTTTAGGATAGTTTTGAAAAAATTTAAAGGGGAAATAGGTGGGAAAATTAAAAAAAAATGTTGCTTTTTTGTGCAAAATTGCATGTTTGAAAAAAATCAATAATTTCATTTGAACGTTTAGGAAGTTCTCTACCAAAAACGTTGGTATAATTTTAAAATCCATTGATTTGGGTATAAGTTATATTGCCATTTAATTTAATTTTAACCTGCAAAAAAATTAAGCTCCTGATAACATGGTAACCATGCATTACACATACATAAAAACTATCCTATATACATATTTTTATGTATATTTTAACATATGTGACTTTCCACGAGAAAAGGGACCTTACTTGATATAAAATTAAATTGTCAGTTTTATAAGCAAATCACCCTCACAGCACCGAAACTTTCATTAAGATTTATTTAAAATGTTCGGAATATTTAATTCCCACTTGAATAAATTTTTAGCGCGAAACTTTCCTGAACATTTAAATGAAATTTTTTTAAATTAATTCCGAACATTTAAAATAAATCTTTAAGAAAGTTTCGGTGCTGTGGGGGCGGTAATGTGATCTAGAATAAGTCCGGTCTAATCTTTAATAAGTCCGATTATGCACACCCTATTGAAAATCTCTGTACAAGATCCTGTACAAAGAATTGTAAAAATTTGGAACCAGAATTTGTAACAAGTTCTTGTATTAGATCCTGTACAAGATCTTGCACAAGAAAACATACTTGAACTAAACGAAGGTATAAATGAACATGTACAAGTAGATGTTTCAAATCTGGTCCAAGAAAATGTACATGAACCTGTACAATAATACATACAAGAACATGTACGTTTTCTTGCATGCAAATATTAAATATATTTTCTTGTACAAGATCTTGTGCAATATCTTGTACATAAGTTCTGATACAAGAAATTCCAAATTCTAGTGCCGAAATTATACATTTTCTTTATCAGAACTGGTACAAGCTCTGCTGCTAAACATGTACATTTTCTTGTACAGAAAGGCAGATTTGGATTCCGAAAACCTATTCCGTACCGCGCCCGTATACTGCACTGAAAAAAATTCGGTGTCGCTGCAACTTTTTGCTTGGGTAGGCACAGTAGATTTCGTTGTAATGCAACGTTGTTATCTCTCTCGTCAAATCAGCTATGTCAAGAAAAATAACTTCTATTATAAAAAATCGACATTTTGGTACACTTAAATTGTATACATTTTTTAAGACTCATTTTTTCAACATTAGAAAGTCTCAAAACGTCCAAATTTACTGGAATTAGAGAAAGCTTAAAATCGCCCAAATGTAATACCTTCTCATTATGATGAGAATGTAAAAATTGTAGAGGCAGTGACACTAAATTTTTTCAATGTAGTATCATCCGAATCGATACAGATGGGCTGACCATAAATATAAAAGTTTAGACTATTCGATTTGTTATTTATTTATAGTTTTAAATATAAGCTTATTATTTAAGGCCATGTTAAAAAATCTTTTTACAATCTCTAGATGGAATTATATTTCAAAATCCACATTATGATCCTCAACCTGTCAAAGAATTGATTCATTCATTCATGTCCAATTGGTGTCATCATAGTCCTTTTATTTTAAAGGAAGGACGAGTTTCACATTGGAATCATAATGGAAATAATGTTGAAGTGAGTTTCACTTTTAAGCATATGTGTTTTAATGGTAACATATTTAAAAAAATTAAATCATATAATGAATGAAAAATTTATTTATTCATTGATTATAAGTACAAAATATTTTGACTTTTCCTTCAAAATATTAAATTGAAAGGCAAAAGCAAAACATTCATTCAATTACTGCCATTAGTCTCAGATTGTGTCCACAATAGGAATATAAACGCACGTCTAACGTCCCGGCTTTAAAAACTTGTACAAGAAAATGTACAAGTTCTTGTACATGTTCATGATCGAACTTGTACATTTTCTTGTACATGTTCAGGTAATATTCTTGAACATGTTCAGCATCCGGAATTAAGAGATGTTCTTGTACAAGTTCATGTACATTTTCTTGAGTCACCAATTGAACTGATACAAGTTCACGTACCAGAACTTGTACATGGATATACTACATGAGATATCTCTAGGATATCCAAATTTCCGTTCTGTGCGACATCCTACGTGATATCCCTGAGATTTCCCGTGTGGGATATATATTTTTGCGCATGTGCTGGAAACTCCCTGCAATCGTTTCACACAGCTGACAAGATGTATACAGTGTAAACGTTTCAGGAACGTCTTTCCAAAAATACTTAATGTAAATCATTTGTTGCTATGTAAAGCTATATTTATATATTTGATGGAAAGAGAATTTAATAAAACAGTATTATAATTATAATTGTGCATTTTATATTTTTGTTATTTCAATTTTAAAAATTTAAAAAGCTCAATTTATTTTGGATAGTCTATATGAGATATCCAATGTGAGATAACCCGCCTCAGAACTGCGGGAAATCTCGTATAAGATATCCCTGGGATATACAGCAAGATATCCTTTTGTTGTGTTGGATACAAGAACATGTCTCATTTTCGGATGCTGAACATGTTCAAAAATACTACCTGAACATGTACAAGAAAATGTACAAGTTCGGTCATGAACATGTACTATGTGACGTGTATTCGTTGAACTCATTTTTCATGCTTTCTACTAACCAATCTTCTCTGCTTGTCTTTCTTTTATAATTTTTTTACCAAGGAAAAGTATGAATAAACAAACAAAATGGAAAAATTAGAAGAAAATCGCCGAAAACAGTTTTTTTCGTTAAACAAAGAAAAAACGTGGTATAATCGTTCAATGTTTTTACCAGCTGAAAACTGTCCACATTATGCGCAATATGACCATAATTGGTCAATTAGTTTTTCAGCATAATGAAAAAGTCTTGGATTTGTGCGATTTTAAGCATTGTCTAATTATTGTAAATTTCTATGTTTTGAGACCACATGATGCAGAAAAAAAACTAACTGTCTAGTGTGAAACTTGAGTATCGTGAGGAGAATGTTATCCTTAAAGTCGTAGTGACTTTAAGAAAATAGAAATCAGTTCATATAAGGCAAATTATTATAATAATTTACTATTGATAAAGAAATAATTCTCTCATAAAAAAATACTTTGAAATAATTTCATAAAATTTAGTAATTTCCAAGAACTTAAAATTTTTAAGATTAACTAATTTACTTTTATTTTACTGTTATTAATCTGCCTTTTTCTTTAAATCAAAGATAAAGATAAGAGATCTTTCATATAAAACCAGAAAATGTTCACGCAATTTGCTTAAATAATAATCAAAGGCAAAAAAAATATGTCAACAAAATTATGTAGGTATAGTGGTTTTACATGGTCATAATTTAAACTAAAATCAATGAAAATAAAAAATTCGATACAATTAATCTTGCGCACTAATTTATCGCAATAATCTTTTGCGCGACGAGCGAATAATACGCGCGCGATGAGAGTGCGTCCGACCCCCCGAAGGGGGGCTGACAGATTTTTAACAATTAATTTCGATGGTCTTTTGTCCCAATATTTTATTCGCTTTTTGCTTTATTTAATATATTTAATTAACTCTCAGATTCCTTTTCACATTTAAATATTTCATTGTTTATTGTATAATTTTATTGCCTTATGTGTATGTATGTGATTGAGACGCGTCTCTAAAATTTTTTTGTGATAAAGCACACGGAGAGAAAAATCAAGTGTTTGTAGTATGGGAGCCCTCTATGTTAATTTTGTATGAACGTTCCTGCTTAAGAGGCGCGGCTTTATACTACAGTTGCATGAAACTATACCAAAAAAGCATAACTTCTTGCAATCGTAGTATGCTGATGTCTCATGCGTTTAAAGGTAGAACTTTCATTCTACAAACGCTTTATTTTTCTCTCCGTGCAAGTGATAAAATTATAATATCATAAATACAATTTTTTATAATATTCAACAAAAGTTATTTATTACAACTACATTTTACCGCTTCAAACTTTGGTGACTCAGAAAATATCGCCGTAATATGAAAGCTCGTACTTGTTTTCGATGAAATGCAAATTAGCAAAGGTGTTTTATTCGACACAAAATCTGTCAATAATGGGATTTACTGATTTATGTGATTATACGCCAGAATCGAAAAAAACCACGCTCTTGTTTTTCTATTATAACTTTTTCATGGAACAATGGGAGCAAAGCATTTTTGAGTTCATTTGACCAAGAAGGTGATTCTGCTGAACTGACAAGAGAAGACTGGTTTTGCTGAGATTTTTCTCATCTCATTAAAAAGAGGAACTTTTTGATGTACAGTAAAGATACCTACGTAAGAATATTCACAAATGATAAATGTATACAATACACACTTAAAACATTTTATTTTAAAATAACCCCTTAGTAGACAATGGACGATATCAGAAAATTTTTTAATAAATATTTTTCCTGTTTAATAAAATTTTGAAATAGAATGTCTCATTATTCTATTTTTATATGTAAATAAGTTTATTTGCCTATAACTGTACTTAGTAACTTTCTTACTATATTGCAGACTCTAGAAGGTGAATTGAAAAAAAACATTTTAGAGCCATTATAAACAACGATTATAAACCTGTAATAAGTGCATTAAAGATTTACAAAAAGACTGACGTATTATTACAAGACTGTAATCCACCTATAAACATATTAACGAAAATAAATAATCTTATTGTATCAATGACATCAGGAAGCTTGAAAACGCTTTGACACCTGACAATATCCATGTTAAAGTATATGTATTTTAGGGCCGATTTCACTGACTGGAATTAATGTCGTGGTTAAATAATTAGGTTTATATTTTAAACAATGATTTGAATTTACTATTATTGCACCATCTTAAATTAATGTAAGAATTCTTGATTAAAGTATTAGAATTATAAGAATGAGTTCCACCATAATTTTATTGTTGATTAAAGCAAAGTAATCTCAGTTTAACTTAATTGCCCAAGTTTGACCGTTTAATAAGTTAATCAGCGATTAATACTAATGATATTGACATGAAAAAATAACCTACAAATCAAAAAGGTTTTTATTAATTAGAAATGTTTGAATTTTATGATGAAATTTTATCATCATCTTCCGAAGATGAAGAAATGGTTCTTCATCGTCGGCCAAGAATTATTCATGAGCGACGAAACTATTTTGATGTTTTAGACGATGTGGATTTTGTTGTGCGTTTTCGTATAACTAAAGTATCAGTGCAAAATATATTGCAAGAAATTCGACATGAATTGGAACATGCTACTACACGGTAAGTTAAAAAAATTATTAAAATTATTATTTTTTACTGAACAAGTTTCCATTATAGCGAGATTATTTATTTCTTTTTGTACTTTTCTATATAGATAGGAAACAGATTTTCATTTTGACACTTTTACAGGAACCACGCGATTTCACCAATGATACAACTTCTTCTATCATTGCGATATTATGCAACTGGATCATTTCTTATCACTGTTGGCGACTTCTCTGGAGTCAGCAAGACAAGTGCCTTTAGGATTATCCATAGAGTGAGTGCAGCTATTGCTCGCTTATCTCGAAACATAATAAAGATGCCTTCTACTCAACAAGAAATAACAAGTGCACAAATAGACTTTTATAGTATTTCGCGCTTCCCTCGAATTATTTTCGCATTGGATTGTACGCATATCAAGGTTCAATCATTTGGTGAGTTCTTTACACAATTTTTAGTTATACCAATAAAGACGAATACCAGAGAAAATGTAACTGATTTTATTTTATGTATTATTTTACTTCATACTTGCAGGTGGAAATCAAGCAGAATTATATAGAAATAGGAAAGGATACTTTTCATTGAACGTTCAATGTACATGTGATGCTCATTTAAAATTTACAAATATTGTATCACGTTGGCCAGGATCTACCCATGATTCAACAATTTTTAATTATTCTAAATTACGCGCTCGCTTGGAAAATGGAGAATTTGGTGATGGTTTAGTTCTTGCAGACTGAGGATATGCATTGAAACCTTATTTGATAACTCCTTTACCAAATTCACAAACTGACGCTGAACGGTTGTTCAACGAATCACAAATAAGAACTCGCAACCCTGTTGAACGAACATTTGGAGTTTGGAAACGTAGATTTCCTTGCTTAGCAATTGGGATGCGTTTCTCAAAACATCGTATTATTGCAATAATCGTTGCAACAGCTGTTTTGCATAACATTGCACTTACAAATGGTGAGCCACTGCCACCAGATGATGAAGCTTTAAATATTCGATGGGACATTATTTTAAATGAGGAGGTTCATAATCAAGGTCCTCAAGATCCCGATCATGGAAACACACGTGAAATTCTTCTTCATTATTTTCAAAGGTAAAATTTAAATTTTATTCCTTTAATAAGAATTAAATATGATCGATGTTTTATTTTTAATATTAAAAACACTTTTACTTTATTGCTAATTAGTCTAAATTTAAATTTTTGTTTTAGTCTATTGTGAATGATCTTTCTCCAAGTGGACACGGTGGTGTGAATTAATAACTGTACTGAAGAAAAAATCAAATAAGTGAATAATATTCAAAAAGTATTTATTTTTATGTGATAACAAAAAAATTACAAACTACAAGAGTCTTTTTTCATATATAAGTACAAAATCACAGCAGTCGAGATCAGTCTTGATATTAATAATATTCTTCATTGCGACACTGTTGTTAACGATTAACGATTAATCTTCTCTCTGAAGTAGATCGAACAATTCTTCAAACGGTCGACCAAGAACAGATTAACTTTAACACGTTTCAGCACATAATTCAAAACATTCTTACTGAATCGGTAACATTCATTGGTTGTACTGAACATGCTAAAAGTTTAACACAAAGTTCAATACAATGTTATACTATTGACAGAAGAAAAATTTTATGTAAGCAGCATTATAAAGTATACAATGAAGCGAAAATAGAAGATCAAAAATTAAGAAAATTTTCTAAGGTAATGGAAAAAAAAGATGACATTGAAAATTCAGTAAAACAGGCAAGGCAACTCAACAAGAAAAGAAAACTCAACAAAGAAAAACACCTCAACAAGAAAAAACAACTTAAGAAGAAAATAATAAATTAAAAAAACAGTCGCAAGGGGCATCAAACCCAAAACAAAAATAAAAAATCGCCTGCATAAAAAAAGTTAAAAAAATATTAACTGTTCAAGAAACTACTTGAAAAATTAAAGATTTCTTCGAAACCGAAATTCAACAGAAGTTTTAGGAAATAAGCGTAATGTATATTAAAGTTTAAAATTCTAATTTATATTTTATTATCAGCATCCCTGTAAAAAAGAATTATTAGCAGTGACGCGAATCCGTATTACAAGTAGTGCGGTTGAAATGGGGAAAACGAGAATTCACGTATTTGAAGGAATGGGGAATGAGGAATTCGGTCAGTTGAAATACGTGAGATTTTCAATTAGTGAATAAAAATCAAAAAACGCGTGAGTGATCATTAATAGTTATATGTAGTGAGGGAAGCAAGTTAGCAGAATGTAAAAATATCTGTGTTTAGTGAAAATAGTAATGTTTAAAGGAATAAAAAAAGTTAAATATGAGTGGAAATACGTGAAGTGACGGGTTGTAATACGCGACGTGGAAAAAGTGGACGAGCGTACTTCTATACCAACATCGGGTATACTTTGCTTTGTTGGTAATAAACTGATTCACTGTAAATGATAATAAAATTTAAAGAAATTAAATTAAATTTATTTTTACAAAAACTCATTAGTTTAACGAAAAATTAGAATGAATCAATAGGTTTAAAGTTTATTATTTTTACCTACCTGTTAAATATTAATTGGCTTTTAATAAATTTCAAATAGTTTTTATATAAAATTATTTAAACATGTTTATTTTAATTATAAAATTAATTAATTCAATTAATAAATTTAATTCGTTTAAATGTTATTATCATTTATAGTGATGCAGTCTATTACCAACAAAGCATAGTATACCCGATGTTGGTAAAGAAGTTTGCTCTTCCACTTTTTCCACGTCGCGTATTACAACCCGTCACTTCACGTATTTCCCCTCATATTTAAGTTTTAACTTTTATTTATTCCTTTAAACATCACTATTTTCACTAAACACAGGTATTTTTACATTTTTCTAACTTGCTTCTCTCACAACATATGTATAACTTTTAATTATCACTCATACGTTTTTTAATTTTTATTCTCTAATTAAAAATCTCACGTATTTCAACTGCCTGAATTCCTCATTCCCCACTCCTTCAAATACGTAAATTCTCGTTTTCCGTATTTCAACCTTACTACTTGTAATACAGAATCGCGCCACTGCTAATAATTCTTTTTTCTTTATACGTGCATGCAAAAACCTCGTTTGGCAACCGCTTTCAGCTATCCAAAATAGTCGAATCCCTCACCGTACGCGCGGACGATGAGCAAAGTATTTTGCTCACCGTTAAGCGGTGCCCAAAACATTTTGCTCATCGTCCGCGCGCACAATGAGGGAGTCGGACATTTTGAATAGCTGCAAGTAGCTGTCAAATGAGGTTATGCCTGCACTTATAAAGAAAAATATGGTTCGATACTCGTTGCCTCGCGAGCGTATGCCCATTACTCGTGTAACGACGTGGCTCGAACTCAAAGCTCGGCTTTGCCTCGCATTGAGTTCTTGCCACGCCGTTACACTTGTAATAAGCAAAACGCTCGCTTGGCCCCTTGTATCGAAATATACTATTTACAAATTATTTGCTTAGTACAATACATTTTATTATGTAAAAACTGTGATGTGATAATAATACGTACATGTTATATAAAAAATGTTTAATATTCACATTTTACAATCAAAATGTTGAAAAATAGAATAATACGTAAAGTCTTGTATTGCATATTAATAAATACACCTACGAATATTTGTTTTTAATTTTGTAGAGTTGTTTAAGACGCATCTTTTGAGCTATTAGCAAATATCCTACTGTTATTTTATTCAGAGTTACTAGTCGCTGGGACACCGAGATCACATTTTCGCGTCAGAGACATTATACATCGTATTGTTGGTGTGTGCCGAATAAAGAGTGTAAAGAAGTTTTTGTCAGAGTTTGACATTTTGTTTTGTTGACAGTTTTTGATGTTAAAAGTGATTGGTCGAGTGACCAAGAGTAACTTTGTGCATAAATTAAACAAAGAAAATCTTAGGAGATATTGTTTATTTTATTGACCAAAACGATTCTCCATCATCGATCATTCAATCAAATATATCATTATCATAACTATGTAACGGATGGTTACTATGTTCTTTTTTGTATTTGTATTCCAATTTCTAGTCTTAGTAAAAAAGTTGATCCCAAGACATATTCCTGAATGTTTTTACTTATTTTGATCCTGGATGGACTGTTAACCTTAAGCATACACAAGCATGATGATAGATGGTGGTGCGGTGGGAAAACCAAGAACATTCGTAAATTGGTGTGCTCGGGAGTTCGTTATCAAGCAAATACCGGGGAGTTAGACTGCGAACGTCGAAGTTACGTCGATAGGGCAGACGCTGACCGGTATCCTAACCCCGAGCAATGCACACAGGAGCTGGATACATACGAAGTGGTCCCACTTCTTCAAGACAGGGGACGGAAGACTGGAGAACAACTAATATCAATATAACAAAGATGGCATTCCGTCGAGGTGGTCATGCAACTACTGGCGGCAGTTCGGCCATGGGTCGATGATCCCCAGTTGTGGTACGCGATGATGAGGCATAACACGGGCGTGGAGGTGGGGTGGTTGTTGGATGACGCGACTTCTGGCTTTACTGATAAATTGAGGTGGGGATTAGGATCTTCGAAAAGGAGTTGGTGACGAAGACTGAAGATGTTAATGATTGGGGGTTCGACAGGCCAGGTGTTGGTGAGTGCAGATTATATGAGTAGTATTTAGCTGTTGCGCGGCGCGATGTTTGGTTTGGAGGGTAATACATTTGTAGAATTGGAAAAATTAAGTGGAGAAGGCGACTCGGAACACCAAAGGCTGTGGTCGATGTCCAGGGTGGCCTACACACTCGGGCATGTTAGGCGAGACGCACATGGAAGCCGTTGGAAGAGGTGGTCAAGTCTCGCAGAAGATGATAGCCACTGTCACTACTGCTCCGCTTCAGTTATAGGAACAGCTGGGTGTCGAAGAAATAAGACTAACGAGCAAGTCGAAGAATATGTGTCAGACACGAGCCTTATAGTGGGGTATTGTGACGAAGTGATCATCAAAGCATCCCCTTTTTAATTGACGTGCTTATTTGTCGTGTCCAGAAGGTGGCGCCTAGCGGACAAAGTGAAAACAAGACGCCGAGATCACATGTTCGCGTCAGAGACATTATACATTGTATTGTTGGCGTGTACCGAATAAAGAGTATAAAGAAGTTTTTGGTAGAGTTCGAAATTTTGTTTTGTTGAGAGTTTTTGATGTTAAATTGAAATTGGTGGAGTGACCAAGAGTAACTTTGTTCCTAAATTAAATAAAGAAAAATTGGAGAGATTTTGTTTATTTGGTTGATTTATTTGAATTGTTTATATAATTGTAGGTTCTAGAATACTATTCATTTTCAAACAATGTAGGGATCAACGATTTTAATCTTTATATCCTTCTACGATGTGTCGGTTAAATTATTTTTTGTCCTACCTGCACGGAAAGTGTGTTATTTCGTGCACTTGAGGCGGTCGCAAAGTAAGTGATTCCCGCCCAGAGATGGGGTGAGCGGGCGCAAAGTACATTCGCGCCCGCTGACGTCATAGATGCGGGCGCAAAGTACATTCGCGCCCGCTGACGTCATAGAAGCGGGCGCAAAATACATTCGCGCCCGCACCATTAAAAAATGTATTGTTTTCATTTTTTGTGACATAATAAACATACGTAATATACGTAAACAACTACATGTAATTTACCTTAAGTATATTATCTTCCCAACCCTGATGGAACATTAAAACAAGCGGACTTGCATGCACTCAATAATACACTTTCCATGCAGACAGGACAAAAAATGTTGTTCGCAGCACGGGCGCAAAAGGTGATAGTGTCTCAGTCGAGATTATGAAGAAACCTCGGCGACCCTACGCACCCTCGGCTTCGCCTCGGGCGCTTCGGGTCCCCTTGGTTTCTCTAATCTCGCCTTCGCCACAATCACCTATTTTGCGCCCTTGATACGAAAATAACTATTTTGAAGTATAACTTATACTATATTATAGCCCATAAAATAAATAAATAAAATTATTATTGAGTAAAAGATTTTGCACTTTTATAAAATTCCACTGACATTTGTCTCTGCATCGTTTTCGTAGGAGAATGAAATTACAGAAGAGGAAATTGCAGAAGAAAAATTGGAAAAGTTTGAAACAGAAGTGGGTATATCGCTGTTAACTCCCTTGTCAGAAGATACAACATCAAAGTTGATGGTTTCCTGGTCAGCAAGAGAGTCGTCTAAAGTTAAAAATAATTCTGCCGTTGCTATTGTTCGATCAAATATTTGGCCGGGAGCATTTGCATTTGCATCACAGGAGTAAGTTCACTTATTAATTTGACATCACAGTGGTCTTAAACCAATTTTGAATAAAGGATCATAGTAACATTATAGTTCTAACATGTTTATTCATGTACACTAGCGCGTAGATCGAGAACAGGCAAATGTGTAGTGCTGTTCTCGATTGTCGCGATCTTTATCGATCGAAAATATAAACGGTCAAGGCCGTATAAACTTTGATCATTCGGAGGGTGCCGTCTTAAGCATTATTTTGACTAGAGGGGTACCGAATGCACGTTCAATATGAAATACGTTCATACAACACTAATGCCACTCTTAAAACTCCCTTTCCGACGCTTCACCTTTTTACAATCATTTTTCAACCACAATATGGTATAATAAAAAGTAGTGAAAAACGAAATATAAGGGGTAACATCTAAATTATATGGTGCTGATATAGTATAGTAAAGGTTAAAAAACTTGGTAAGTCTGTGTCTTTAACCCGGCGATAGTGTGGTTGGCTATCTCATGTCCAGGCACTTACTCTCAAATTTTATGAAAATAAAAAATTTATATTAAAAAAGTTATATCAAAAATTATAATTTAATAATATAATTATCCGAAATCAATCACTTACAAACATTTAGAGGCAGTTTTATTCTTGGGTATGTCATATCCAACCACATTCTCGGTGTAACACTTTCCTCCCACACTCTCGGTGGGTTAAAATTATACATAGAAAACACATTGTCAAACTTTATACACGTTCTTTCTTGAAAAATCGTTTTTAAACACGGCTAGCAGCAGAAGTCGAATAATTTTTATTCGATTAACTTGGAATTTTAAATATAGCTTCTTAGGTAGGTTTTCTACAGAAGCCTTCAAAAATTTATATTTTTAACAAGCCATGGTAGAGCTTAATCAGTTGATTAGAATTTTGTCTATCGTGATGTCAGACATCTGTATTTTATTTTTCTTTCTTAAACATACACGGAAAATATTTCAGTACCGCAGCTGCACACGGTGTGTCAAAATTTTTTGTACATTTATTCTGTACGCCATCTGTACCATTTTTGCGTAACTGCCGTACGTTATGTAAAACGTTTGTGACAAACTGTACGTCTGCTGCCTGCACTGAAAAAGTCTTAAGCGATCAGCAGTTCCAACAGTGGAAATGCAGTAGCTCTTTGCTTTGGAGTGTCTGGAGCATGATTTTGAGCAACCTCTATGCTAAATGTTGGGCGAGCAGATGTTCCACATTATTGTTACCAAGATTTGGTGATGCTGCAGCATCAGACTTGGGCACTCAGAGCACCCAAGATGGGAAACAGTTAGCCCCATAATGAAGTTGTGCAGAATCTCTTTATTTGGTGCTTCTCATACATGCGTTGGGAATTCTAAACGCCCAAGACTTTTTCAGTGTGGTAAAGGCACGGCAGACATGCATTATGAAATGTACTGCTGCTGACACTGTCAACAGAGCATCTGCTGTGCTGAAATTTTTTTCGTGTAGGTATTAAAAGAGAGACGAAACGAAAAATAACCAATAAAATGGAGTCGTCACCAGATAGCAAATCGCTATTTATTAAAAACCCACATGGCACGACTTCTTGCTGTGAAGCTACGGTAAGGTTACTGTAAACATAAAGTAATATGAAAATATATTAAAAATAATTATATTATAATATATTGTTGTATTTGAGCTCTGAATGATAATATTGTATTTTCTGAGATTCTGAAAGATGCTTTCTTGAGAGAAAACAGCTTAGAGTGGGTCAATTTGGATTTTTCAATAAATAAATTATTATTACAGAAGTGTAATCCTGCTTGGTTTATTTAACAATATAACAGGTTATGGGCCCAGCATTGTGAAAAGAAGCAGCAACTTCAAACTAGGAGAAAAGATATTTACAGATGTCTGTGGTCCAGTCAACATTAAATCCCCGCGAGGCACGAAATATTATTTGCTATTTAAGGATGGCTGCACTTATTTTAGGAAAGTATATTTCTTACGACACAAATCAGAAACTTATGAAAAATTCAGAGAGTTTGAGCATTTTTCAAGAACTCAAACAGGAAATAAAATCAAGTTTTTACGTTCTGATAATGAAACAGAATATACTTCCCAAGATTTTCAACAATTTGTCAAAGAAAGAGGTATATTGTTCACGAATTTTCTTCACCTTATATACACGAACAGAACGGTAGTGCCGAACGAGAAATTAGAACAATCGTCGAAAGCGCAAGATAAATGCTCTTAGCAAGGAACATTGATAAACAATTATGGACAGAAGCAATTAACACAGCCACTTATATATTGAATCGAGTGGTCTTATAATAAGGTGAAACGAAGACACCTTTTGAAAAGTGATTTAATCGTAAATCAATAATTAAACATCTGCAAGTTTTTGGTACACCAGCGTACCTTAACATCCTGAAAGAGAAAAGGAAGAAATTTGATCCTAAAAGCAAGATAGTGATTGTTATTGCCTACGATGGTGAGTCAGCAAATGATAGATTATTGGATTCAGAATCACGTAAAATCTATATCAGCAGCGATGTAGATTTTAATGAAAGAAAAAACAGCGTTGACCTAAATGGTGAAAAAAAGTTATCAACTCCAGATTAATTTTAGAAATGCAGAGGATCTTGAAATGCATGAGTCTGATGATTAATCTGATAAAAACGAGATTGAAAATGAATCTGATGAACATGAGGAGGTTAATCAAGAAGAATCACAGCAGGTTATTCTCGAAAACCCACCTGCGGGTCAGCAACTTCGCGACAGAAGATTAATTAATGGAACGTAAGAGGCTGTTTGGTTACGCCGAATGTTGTGCAATTTGAAAATTGTGTGTAAATCAATTCCCTTGATGGTAGATAACCAATCTGCAATAAAATTAGCAAACAACTATGAGTTTCACAAACATTCCAAACATATTGAAGTGAAATATCATTTTGTTCGCGACATTGTAAGCAAGAAAAAAATTAAATTACTGTATGTTAAAAGTGAAGAACAATTGGAAGGCATTCTAACTACACCCCTACCGAAAAAGCAATTTTGTAGTTTGCGGGAAAAATTAGGTGTGTTGAATCTTCCAAAATAAGTGGGAGTGTTGAGTTTGAGCTCTGAATGATAATATTGTATTTTGTGAGATTCTGAAAGATGCTTTCTTGAGTGAAAACAGTTTAGAGTGGGGATGTAAGTACATACGTGACCCTACCTATCCGAACCAAAAAATTGTAATTTTCCATTACCCCGCAATACCTTTTCCTCCTTGTACATGCCTAACTAAGTTTAGTATGCCACGTGCAATTATCGAAGAGACAGCGTGTCGGATTTTATTTGTCAATTTGGATTTTTCAATATATAAATTATTTTTACAGAAGCGTAATCCTGCTTGTTTTATTTAACAATCTAATCTAATCTGATCTAAAATAAGCTTATACCGAAGTCCCCTAGAACGAGTGTTGGTACTTAAGTCGTAAGACCCTTTGCACCTAACCCCGGTAAGCTTGAACCTAGTCTCCCTCTTTAGTGTCCTGTCTTATTCCAAAAGTCTAGTAACTCTTCCACCGAGAGGTCGCGAATCCTATCTGGGTCTACAAAGGCATGGCCCCAGCACTCATGTCTCGCTGCAGCGTAATGCCTACCGCCGGCTCCGGGCCTATCATAGTCATCTCAGACTCTCTACGGGCTAAGGTATCTGCTTCTTCATTTCCTCTGATTCCCGAGTGTCCTCGTACCCAGACTAATGAGAGCTTATTTTTCAAACCTAGCTCGTCCAATACCTTCCGACTAAATACCATTGCTTCCAGTTGTTCAAGTTTCAATTTCACCGTTTTCAACTGGCTTCTAATCCACCAAACAACTGATGCATGCAGAAACCTTGGCAACAGGACCATAGGATAGAGCCATTGAACCATATCCGGTTTTAGACCCCAAGCTGATCCAATAGCCCTTCTGCAAACCCAAAATGTAGTGCTAAACCTACTATATTGATACTCTAAGTGCTTTCTCCAGATCAGCTTCTTATCCAGAATCACTCCTAGATATTTATCCGAATCGGAAAAAGACACTTCTTTTCCATAAAATACAGGTCCTCAATTCTGCTAATCGCTGAATGAAGGGCTGTTTCTACAGAACAGCCTGCTATATACGCGTGCTGTCCCGGATGTAATGGTACTTCCATCAGACATTCCTGTCTGATAGAAGTATCTATCAGTTTCTCCAACGTCTTAAGGATGAAGGAGGTTAAACTGATCGGCCTGAAGTCTTTGGCTGCTGTATAACCACCACGCCCAGCCTTCGGAATAAACACTACTCTGGTCATTTTCCATGGCTCAGGAGTGTAACCTAGAGTTATACTTGCTCTCATGATTTTAACCAAAGGTAAACGAACATACCGCAGTCCTTTTTGTGAGGGAATCGGACATATGCCGTCTCCCCCTGGTGCCTTAAATGGCTTAAACCGGCCTAAAGCTAAATCAATCTTTTCCAGAGTCACAATGTCGGATGCAAGTTTCCAGTGTTCTCGTCCAGGACGAGATTTACGTGGATTCCGATCCCCATTGCTCTGCTCTGATTCTCTGAAGTCTGGAAAATTAATTCCCACAAGATGCTTCAGGCACTCAGCTCTGTCACGGGTGAATCGTCCGTTAGGTAGCTCAATTGAAGATAGCTTAGTTGTGGCATCTCTGGCTAGAATTTTATGAAGTCTAGATGCTTCTGGTATCTTCTCAATACCTTTGCAAAAGCCCCTTAAGCCGGATGCTCTAGCCTTGTCACTCCCTTTCTTATAGGAATTACGAGCGTTATTGAACAAAGCCCATGCCTGTTGATTCATATTTTTCTTTGCACTATGCAGCAACTTTCTCACCTTACCCCTAAGACTTTCCAACTCAGCATTCCACCAAGTAGTTTTCCTGATAGTTTCAAGTCTTTTTGGGTTTCAATTTCTCTCAAAAGCGGAAATAATTGAATCCTGCAGAAAATTTGCTGCAAGTTCCAACTCCTCTTCTGTACCATAACTGGTAGG